CCTAGTGGAAAAAGTTTTTCCTAATATCCAACCTAAACCTCCCCCACTGCAACTTGAGACCATTACTCCTTGTTCTGTCATTTGCTACCGCTGAGAACAGTCTAGATCCATCTTCTTTGGAACTCCCTTCAGGTAGTTGAAGGCTGCTATCAAATCCCCCCTCATTCTTCTCTTCTGCAGACTAAATAAGCCCAGTTCCCTCAGCCACTTCTCATAAGTCATGTGCCCCGGCCCCCTAATCGTTTTTGTTGCCCTCCGCTGGACTCTCTCCAATGTATCAACATCCTTTCTGTAGTCGGGGGACCAAAACCGGATGCAATATTCCAGATGTGGCCTCATCAATGCCAAATAGAGGGGAATGATCACTTCCCTCGATCTGCTAGAAATGCTCCTACTAATGCAGTCCAAAATGCCGTTAGCCTTCTTGGCAACAAGGGCACACTGTTGACTCATATCCAGCTTCTCATCCACTGTGACCCCTAGGTCCTTTTCTGCAGAACTGCTGCCTAGCCACTTGGTCCCTAGTCTGTAGCAGTGCATGGGATTCTTCCATCCCAAGTGCAGGACTCTGCACTTGCCCTTTAAATTTTAAATTAATGGAGATATCCTATCTCCTAGAACTGGAAGGGACCTTGAAAGGTCATTGAGCCCAGCCCCCTGCCTTCACTAGCAGGACCAAGTACTGTTTTTGCCCCAGATCCCTAAGTGGCCCCCTCAAGGATTGAACTTACAACCCTGGGTTTAGCAGGCCAATACTCAAACTACTGAGCTATCCCTCCCCATGCTTGAACCTCATCAGATTTCTTTTGGCCCAATCCTCTAATTTGTCTAGGTCCCTCTGTATCCTATCCCTACCCTCCAGCGTATCTACCACTTCTCCCAGTTTAGTGTCATCTGAAAACTTGCTGAGGGTGCAGTCCACGCCATCCTCCAGATCATCAATGAAGATATTGAACAAAACCGTCCCCAGGACCGACCCTTGGGGCACTCTGCTTGATACCGGCTGCCAACTAGACATGGAGCCATTGATCACTACCCGTTAAGCCCGACGATCTAGCCAGCTTTCTATCCACCTTACAGTCCATTCATCCAGCCCATACTTCTTTAACTTGCTGGCAAGAATACTGTGGGAGACCGTATCAAAAGCTTTGCTGAAGTTAAGGAATAACACGTCCACTGCTTTCCCCTCATCCACAGAGCCAGTTATCTCATCATAGAAGGCAATTAGGTTAGTCAGGCATGACTTGCCCTTGGTGAATCCATGCTGACTGTTCCTGATCACTTTCCTCTTCTCTAAGTGCTTCAGAATTGATTCCTTGAGGACCTGCTCCATGATTTTTCCGGGGACTGAGGTGAGACTGACCGGCCTGTAGTTCCCCGGATCCTCCTCCTTCCCTTTTTTAAAGATGGGCACTACATTAGCCTTTTTCCAGTCATCCGGGACCTCTCCCGATCACCATGAGTTTTCAAAGATAATGGCCAATGGCTCTGCAATCACATCCGCTAACTCCTTTAGCACCCTCGGATGCAGCGCATCCGGCCCCATGGACTTTTGTGCTCGTCCAGCTTTTCTAAATAGTCCTGAACTACTTCTTTCTCCACAGAGGGCTCGTCACCTCCTCCCCATGCTGTGCTGCCCAGTGCAGGTCTGGGAGCTGACCTTGTTTGTGAAAACAAAGGTAAAAAACCCATTGAGTACATTAGCTTTTTCCACATCCTCTGTCACTAGGTTGCCTCCCTCATTCAGTAAGGGGCCCACACTTTCCTCGACTTTCTTCTTGTTGCTAAAATACCTGAAGAAACCCTTCTTGTTACTCTTAACATCTCTTGCTAACTGCAACTCCAAGTGTGATTTGGCCTTCCTGATTTCCCTCCTGCATGCCTGAACAATATTTTAATACTCCTCCCTGGTCAATTGTCCAATCTTCCACTTCTTGTAAGTTTCTGTTTTGTGTTTAAGATCAGCAAGGATTTCACTCTTAAGCCAAGCTGGTCACCTGTCATATTTACTATTCTTTCTACACGTTGGGATGGTTTGTTCCTGCAACCTCAATAAGGATTCTTTAAAATACAGCCAGCTCTCCTGGACTCCTTTCCCCCTCATGTTATTCTCCCACGGGATCCTGCCCACCAGTTCCCTGAGGGAGTCAAAGTCTGCTTTTCTGAAGTCCAGGGTCTGTATTCTGCTGCTCTCCTTTCTTCCTTGTGTCAGAATCCTGAACTCGACCATCTCATGGTCGCTGCCTCCCAGGTTCCCATCCACTTTTATTTCCCCTACTAATTCTTCCCTGTTTGTGAGCAGCAGGTCACTCTGCCCCTAGTTGGTTCCTCCAGCACTTGCACCAGGAAATTGTCCCCTACACTTTCCAAAAACTTCCTGGATTGTCTGTGTACTGCTCTCCCAGCAGATATCAGGGTGATTGAAGTACCCCATGAGAACCAGGGCCTGTGATCTAGTAACTTCTGTTAGTTGTCGGAAGAAAGCCTCGTCCACCTCATCCCCCTGGTCTGGTGGTCTATAGCAGACTCCCACCACGACATCACCCTTGTTGCTCACACTTCTAAACTTAATCCAGAGACTCTCAGGTTTTTCTGCACTTTCATACTGGAGCTCTGAGCAGTCATACTCCTCTCTTACATACAACGCAACTCCCCCACCTTTTCTGCCCTGCCTGTCCTTCCTGAACAGTTTATATCCATCCATAACAGTGCTCCAGTCATGTGAGTTATCCCACCAAGTCTCTGTTATTCCAATCACATCATCATTCTTTGACTGTGCCAGGACTTACAGTTCTCCCTGCTTGTTTCCCAGGCTTCTGCACTTGTATCTAGGCACTTAAGATAACTCGTCCTGCTTTCTCAGTATGAGGCAGGAGTCCTCTTCTCCCAGTATCCCACTTCCCCACTTACCTCAGGGCTTTGGTCTCCTTCCCCCGGTGAACTTAGTTTAAAGCCCTCCTCACTAGGTTAGCCAGCCTGCTGCTTGTTACCACAAGTCTGTGTGCTGCTCCAATGGTGTTATGGGGAATTTATCAGAAACCCTCCCCGCTCTTTCTCCCTGGTGTAATGCAGCTGTGTGTTGCATTTTGTGCTCAGGTTGAAGATTCTTAAAAGCAAATACAAGCTGCGAAGTCTTGTTTTCTTGACCACTAATTTCTTTACTGTTGATGAAATGAATTCTAGTATATGGCAGTCAAGCTGGTGTTCGAAGGTTGTTCCCACCTTTTAGGTCAGCATTCATTTGCTACTACACTGCTCTGAGGTGCTCTCCACCTCATGGGACTCCAGTGTGATTAGTCGTATTTGACTGGGTTGCTTTTCATGATTTGCAAAAAGTGCCTGTGGCGGAGCTAGTACGTCATCTGCCCCTTAGGTCAGGGGGGAGGGAGGTAGCACAGACTCTCTACGCCCAAGTCCATGTTCTAAACCCTTCTCTAGTTTGCACAGGGTGGCCCAGTGGCCTGAGTCCATCTACTTCCCCTTGCCGATTGGGGTAGTGCAGCCTAGCGGCTGGGGTCCATACAATGTGCCCCTAGGGCAGTGCAGCCCAATGGCCAGAGTCCACCTAATTCCTCTCCCCTAGTGGGGGAATGCGGCCTAGTGGCCAGAGTTCATATAACTCACTGTGTGGGGCCAGCTCCTCTCAAAGGAGGGTGGCCCAGGTAGGGGGACCCGGGCCCACCCACTCCACTGGGTCCTGACCCAGGGCCCTGCTAGTGGCGAGTTCTCTTCACCAGTGGTCCGGCCGGGATCTTCCCAAAACACACCGGCCCGAACGGTTTCAGCACCATTTCCCTTTAAGAACTCCCTGGGTCATTTCCTACCATATTCTCAGATTCAGCCAGGTCCGTGTCATCCTCAACTTCCCCTCTGCAGTGTGGCTGGACGTGTCTGGCCTCTGCGTCTCATGGTGCGAGCCTCTCTTCTACTAGAGAGAGCAACGAGCCTCCTTCCCCTCCAGTGGTCCACCCTGATTGAGCAGCTCTGCAAGCTTTTATACCTGACTGGCTTCCTCTGCTAGGAGGGAAGGATTAACCCCCGCTGAACCAGTGCGGGGCCAATCCGCCCCGTCATAGTGCCGGATTGGACACTGAAGTTCTTTCATTCTGAGATGCAGTGCGTGCTGTGGCTATATCACAGTTCTCCAAGTGCCTGGCTGACCTTTTGAGAGCGCCATTGTGCTCTGCTACTGGGCCTATTTGGAGCAGAAGGCATTGAACTATTCCACCTTCTTCTGAAGTGGGTGATATGGACCCCCTCTCTGCTAGGGACTAAAAAAAAGAGCAGATTCTTTTTGGGTCTGAGTTTGAAGAGGTACAGAGGAATGTAGGGCTTTGTCTCAGCCAAAGCTTTGTGATTTCATTTGCTGGGTGATCATGGATTGGAGTGCTGTAAGGAGACTGAATGCTGCAGCCGATCTTATTTGCCAACAGGGCTTGTAAAACATGTCTGTATGTATTTGTTTTTAAAAAGCTCTCCTAGGATTATTTTTGTACCAAACTGCTTATAGATTATAGATTTTTTTTAAGGCCAGAAGGGATCTCCTGCATAACCCAGGCCGTAGGCTTTCACCCATCATTCCTGGAGTGGAGGGAGTCACTTCTCTGGCTGTGTGAGTGAACGTTCTTGAGGATCTCTCTTAGAAAGTTATGGGCACAACTTTTTTTTCCAAACCATTCTTGTTGGAATATTGTTGAAAATGTATTCTGATTTCTTTATAAAAATGCATTGAAAAGTAAACTGCTTTGCAAGTTTCTATGGCAGCTGTGAAATCAGCTTGGGCTCTGGTTTCACACTTTGTGGTTCACACTCTTGCAGCCAAGTTGCAGTCCCCTCTAATGAAGCGTTAACTCCAGTGAGAATCTCACTTTTTTTTTTTTAAACACAGTGACTCGTGGGTTTCAGTACAATTTTATGCAGAATTACTGATTAATACCATTGAAATTATAATTATATACGTGTGTGTGTGTGTGTGTGTATCTATACACACGTATCTATACACACACACACACACACACCCTCTGATCTATCTCTTATGGCTGAAAGTCCATCTCAATAGGTGGGTAAATAAAGTTTCTGATTTATGTAACTGGGACTACTTATTAAACCATATCTCCTTTTCCCAAGTGAAATATGTGGTTGTCTTCTGAGTATAAATCATCTTCAAAGACAGACTCATTGTTTAACAAAACTGGAATGCTTAGGACAGCCTACAAAGTGATTACCAGTTGCTTCTAGAGACAGCAGTCTGAGTAACAGTGAAGGATATGCTGGAAGATCATACAGGGAAGTCCTCCTTTGTTAGATGCCTGTACTGTAGTGGCTTTGTAGTTGAATGCAAGAGACCGGTTTATGGCACAAGTCTGTCTTTGATTAGAAATATTCTGCTCTGTTCTTGTTCTTGTAAGTATTTACAGTCTGCCACATTTTTTTTTCCCAACCTGCAGGGGGGAATAGGAGGTGAATTGTGTGTCCTCCTAGCAGCCTTCAATTAAACTCAGACTGCCATAGATCAAACAACAGAACAGATGGATAATGGAGACTGGGGATATATGGTAAGTGATCCAATATTAAGGTGAATGCATGCCGAAAAATAGAATTGGGCTTTCCAGATTTTTATGTCGAATCTCTTGGCCTTGTGTATATACCCAGGGTTTAATGTTGAGTGAAGACAATTGAACTTAGTAAAAATAATATAAGCAAATAGGTTTGTTTTTAATAAGTATTTCATTTCATATTGTGTGTTGGGACAGTTCATGTTCTTAATCTTCAGCTAAATAGTAGTAATTATTTAACACAACAGCAAGAAAAGGGTTACATTTCTCCTAAAAAGATACAATTTGATGATGGTCTAGAAAGCCACCTTTCTGGTATACAGAGTTGAAAAAAATATGCTCTCCCTTCCTCTTCCTTTAATTACTCTGCTGTCATTTTATTTGGAAAAATATTCTTGCTTCTTCAACTTCATCTTTCATAACAAAACTAGACACACCCCTCTTATTTTTCCTTCTCACCTCTTTCTCTAAACCTCCTGTTCCCTTTTGTCTGTCTGCCTATCTGGCTGGTCCTCTGCCCTCATTGTCAGAATCAGTGCCCAGGATGGTGCCCTATCCTCTTTCTCCCCTGCCCTTTTAGGTGTGATCTGGATGCTGTAGCTGCAGGCTAGCTCTACTACTCTGGACCCTCCTCTACGCCGCATATTGTTTGCCTGATAGTTTTCTTTATGCTGTCCCCTAGCTGCACCTTTGGATGGAAGCTCTTGGTCCTAGATCTAAAATTACATTAGGTCCTTTCATTTTTTCTGGGAAGAGGTTTTGTACCTACTCAGTTAGCTCCTTCTCGAGTAAGAGGGGTGTTGTGAAAGCAAGGAGCCAGAGGTGAAATTCTGACTCGTACCTTGGGGAAATCACTTACGCTGTGCATCAGTCTCTTCATCTGTACAATGGAGAAAATATTTACTTTGCAGAGGATGAAATAGTTATTTGACATTGAGCTCTGGGCTTTAGTTAATACCTGTAGAGCACTTTGAAGATATGCTTTCTAAGTTGCCAGGTGTGGATTTTGGCTTGGTTTCTTGAATTTATTCCTGTATAACCCCATTGGTAGGTTTCAAACTGAACAGTTGCAATTCTTTCTAGGGCTGGCAGCTTTCCGACAGCAACTGCCACATGTTGGCGATAAGAAATCTCTCATAGTAGTTTGATAAACTCTGGAATTTCTTTCTTTCTAGATGACTGATCCAGTCACAATAAATGTGGGTGGACACTTGTATACAACATCCCTCACCACTCTAACAAGATATCCCGATTCAATGCTTGGGGCCATGTTCGGGGGAGACTTCCCCACTGCCAGGGACTCTCAGGGCAATTACTTCATTGACCGAGATGGACCACTTTTCCGGTATGTTCTTAACTTTTTAAGGACTTCAGAGTTGACTTTGCCACTGGACTTCAAGGAATTTGACTTGCTTACGAAAAGAAGCAGATTTTTATCAAATTGAACCCCTAATCCAATGTCTTAATGACCCCAAGCCTTTGTATCCTGTGGATACCTTTGAGGAAGTAGTGGAGTTGTCCAGCACACGGAAACTTTCCAAATATTCCAATCCAGTGGCAGTAATCATAACGCAGTTAACCATCACAACTAAGGTCCATTCATTACTGGAAGGCATTTCAAACCACTTTACCAAGTGGAATAAGCACATGATGGACACAAGAGACTGCCAAGTTTCCTTTACTTTTGGGCCATGTGATTACCACCAGGAAGTTTCCCTCAGAGTCCATCTGATGGAGTACATTACAAAACAAGGTTTCACTATCAGAAATACAAGAGTTCACCATATGAGCGAGCGGGCCAATGAAAATACAGTGGAGCACAACTGGACTTTCTGTAGACTGGCACGGAAAACGGATGACTGATGTATGACTCCACAGATGCCATTTCAGTGGTTACATGCAACTTCCTGGAACAGCATACCTGAGAGAATCTGGTTTTGACTAAAGCAACAGCATGGGCTTTTTTTATGAGATTATTTATTGATAACCATTAAGGACTGGAGAAGTTACATGCTCTAGCAGATCTGTTTTTTGTCTTGTTCAGAAAAAGATATGCATGTGCTTGTTCACACTGTTAAGACACTTTTTTAAAGAGGGAGTCTTAAAAATCAGTATGGTAGGAAGTTTGATGTCAGCTCTTTCAACCTAAAGTGCTAAATTCACCTATTTAAATGGTCTCTAATCCATTTAATGCTAAAACACTGGGAGTAAAGAACAAACAGGATTTAAGATGCAGATGGGGGAAGTGCTAGCATCATGTAAACTAACCTAGTTTCTAAATCAATAAACAGTATTGTAATATTTTAGGAAAACAAATCCTACCCTTTTAAAGTACTTGTTAAGTACGGCTTTTTACAGTTATTACAACTGTTTTTCTATGCATATAAATCAAGCAACCAAATATTATCTGTAGCCATGAAAATGTGATTAGAAATATTTATACTGGATTCTGAATGCAAAATATCCCTGTGGTAGAATTCATATTTTTAATGCCTGGTGAAATATTATTCCCAAGTGTAATGCCTGCCAGCAAGAAGCTAATAAAATGTCAAATATGGAAATAAATCTTGTATTTTTTGTCTTCTCCTACTAATTTATTCTAGGAAAAAGGGGGGAGTAAGGTACATCAGTACAAGAAAGTGAAACTGGCCAAGCTCCTACTTTCCCTATTCTGGTGCATAAGAATATTAACTCACTCTTAACATTCAACTTAATGGGCTTTGTGGCCTCATATTTCCATAGGGATAATTTCCATATTGAAAATTCAGAGGGGAAGTTATATATTTTGACAAATGGGAAGTTGGAAAGGACTAATGCCAGTTAAAAGATGCTAATCCAGGGTACATCTAGAGTCTGAATAACGATAACCTGGTGGGAAACATTATCCGGTTTCATATTCATCAAATCAACTGCCAGCATGTCTCAGAGCTCTCATCACCCTGTGCAGGGCTGCTTTTGTTGAAGTCAATGGGACTCTGGCTCCACATTCTTATCTGCCAATTCCCTAGACGCTTCTCCTGCCTCTTTTATGCATTCTGTAGAATTATTCATAAAAGATGCTAACAAACAGGAATCAAAGTTAGAAGACACTGAAATAAATAAACTTGATATCTGCTTTGAGTGACTAGGCCAGTGCAATTCTGCTTACTCCTCTTTCTAGGTTGTAATGTTTCTGTCTCCCTTAAATAAATCACAATCATCTCTAGGTATACAAACGTCCTATTCACCTGGCCTAACTGATCTGGCCAGTATGGACCCCAGCATCCCGGGTGTGGTCAGAGAGAGCCTGGGCTACCACTTCAGCAGCTTTTTGGTTGGGCTTAGGGTATGTCTACACTGCAATAAAATACCCACGGCTGGTCCATGTCAGCTGACTCACAGAGCTCGGGCCGTGGGGCTACAAAATTGCAGTGTAGATGTCCATGCTTGGGCTCTGGGACTCTGCAAAGGGAGGGAGTCCAGGAACCCAGGCTGAGCCAGAACGTCTACTATGCTCCCACAAACCCAGGTCAGCTGACATGGGGCAGTCACAGGTGTTTTATTGCAATGTAAATATACCCTTAGAGTTCAAGGAATTGGCAGTGGGTTAGGGTTAGGGTTATTCAGGTTGGCTCATTCACAATTCTTTGACCATGAAGACCTTTCTCAGCGCCATGTTTTTCTTTGGTCATATCTTCACCTCCCTTTTTATTGGTGCTAAGGGGATGGGTTTTTTGGTTTTGTTTGTGAGCATTAAGTGATTTTTATTTTATTCAAATAGGAAAAGGCTGCTATTAGTTCACTCAGGAAGCTCCAGCAAGCTGCTTCTGTTCCTTGCCAAGCGAGACCCCTGTAAAACAGTTTGTTTGCAACAGTACAAGAAAATCCTAAAATAAATACTCGCAACATTTCTTCATTTATTTGCAATGTAATGCTTGGTTTAATCACTGAATAGAAGACATCCGTCCTTTTTACTTGAGCACCACTGACCCATTTAATAAGCAAACCCTAAATCACACACCCCTATTGGAGGCTGAAGTTTACAGAAAGGGTATCGGCAGCTTTCATCATCATAGATCATTTTCACAAGTTGAAGCTGGCACATACTGTGTGAGTTTTGACTGGTTATATAAGTGCAGATAGTGCTCACTGCTCAACAAGATACAAGAAGGAATTCTGTCCCCTGTCCCAAAGAGTTTACATTTTAACAGAGCTTTTAATCTAAGCACTCACTGCAGGGTTAATGAAATCCTTACCACTTTGCTGGGGCCGAATGGGGGAAAACATAATTTCATATTTGCAGTTGGGTATTTACTGTCGTGTGAAGAAACCTGGTGATTTAGGAACTAATGTTCCTGGTTTTTGAGAGAGATTATTGGCCAATATACCTTAATTTAGAACCTCTGGCTGTGACTTTACATTACTTTTGTTAACTTAAGTTCCTTGATTCTGTGCAAGGCATTTTATGGGCTCAACAAACGTTGTCCCAGGCAGAAAGAAAGTAATTATTTTTAATCTGAATGTAATAAAATATTGAGAATCGGACTGCTAAATACAGCAGCTTCTGCAGCTACTGTGAACACTTTAAAAAAAAAATTAGGTAAGTTCCTAATGATACTCGGCATAACCATGGACGTAGCTGAAAACTGTTTGGCTTCCTTCCATTCTTAAATGTAAATTACTAAGAATTTCAGTTGATGTTTGCAGACATTACAGTCAACTGTTCTGTGTTACTCTTTGATTATTTATAAAACGCTGGCAGTGTGCTAGCTAGTGCACCATACATGGAACCAAAGAAGATGTTGTCTGTGTCCCAAGCAGCTGTTGATCTTTATAGTTTTGACAGAGCACTCTGAAAAAGTGGTTTCAGGTACCTTGCATAGGCCTGGCTCACCTGTGGAAGAGGGAGAATATAGGAAGGTATCAGCAGTGACTAAGGAGGAACAACGATTTCTAAATAACTCAGAATGATCTTTGAAGTGTAATTTTTTAAAAATATGCTACCGTAGTGTGTAATGCCCCCCAACCCGGTACCTGGGATTCCCCTACATGGCTAATATGCAGCGCTGATCATCCAAATGAGGATGCAAAGCATTTAATTTCGGAAAGCACATTTTTAACTTGAATATTCACTAAAGGCAAACTTCAAATTGTGCATTCGTTTGTAAAATTTGCTAGTGGTGCTTGGTTTGCTGGGAAAAGTACTAAGGTAAAATCTTGTTTAAGTAGGTGAGCTGTGTTTTTAAATTAAGCAAGAAAACGCAATGTCGTGTGAACAGTGATGTTAATTCACCTTTAATGTGATGTTAGAAATGAAGGCAGTGTGCTGAGAATACGATGTGTGAGATGGGGAAGGGGGAGGTTACCTTGTTTAAAACTTATACCCCCTACTGCTTAAGCATACTATAAGAAGAACATACACCTCTACCTCGATATAACGCGACCCGATATAACACAAATTCAGATATAATGCAGTAAAGCAGAGCTCCGGGGGCGGGGGGGACAGGGCTGCGCCGTGCAGTGGATCAAAGCAAGTTCGATATAATGCCATTTCACCTATAACGCAGTAAGATTTTTTTGGCTTCCGAGGACAGCGTTATATCGGGGTAGAGGTGTACTTATTGATAAGTAGTGATAAAAGTACCTGTGAATATGCATCCTGTTAATGCAGAGTATGTAACTATCCTATCTTTCCATGGTGTTAAATTGTACATATATAGGGTTTGTGCATGTTGTTTGCCTTTTCATGGTGGTAGTTCAGAGCTATAAATAAATGTTCCAGACAGAGGGCTGGACAGCTCTGGCTACTGTAATAGGTGATAGAGCCCCGGACCTCTAGATTGTCTGTTCAGATCCGGTCCTGGTCACTAATGACTGAAAGACAATCTGGTGGGTTTCAGGGTGGTCTTGTTGCAGCCGGGCTCATGACAAGACACCATTTTAAATGGTACTAGTAGGCCTCTGCTGAACCGGCCAAGGAATGAAAGGGCCTGAGCAAACCCTCTCCCCACTTACAGGGCATTCTCTTCAGAAAAGGGCAGTGGCAGACTGGCACAGTAGTATGGAGAAGCATGCACTGGTGCTATTATGCTGTACCTGTTATGTGGTTAAACTGGATCTCGGGCTCCAGCAGTGTGAGGCCAGTGCCTTCTGCGAACATTGAATTCACTGAACAAACAGGTCTAAACTTCTAAGGTTCCGATTACCGCACCAGAACCAAACCATGCTTCTTACTGGTTGTTCTGTGCATGGAACAAGGGCAGACATGGTTCTGATGTCCTGTTCGAGCAGCTCTCTATGGACGGACGTGTGGCTGTGCAGTGCCCCACTCATGTCAGTCGAGATCCATCCAAATGGAGTTGATTGCTCGAGCAGGGCCTCAATCATTAAACTCTCAGATTCTGAGCCATGCATGTAATTGGCACAATTCAATACTCCATTCCAAGGAACACGTGATTTTTACCTTCTGGCCTCAAAATTCCAACCTGTCAGTCCACTTGCTTTCTCCCGGCTGTTTTCCATTCTTCAGCCTTGAATGTTATATGTCAAAATAATGTGTGCCTAGGCTAACGTGTAGGTGCCGGTGGTAGCTGTGACGCAGTAGGGAGTGGGGCGGATTGACCTGGGAATGTCGTCTAGTTTTACTGGGACTGTCTGCATGGGGGATGGGAGAGCAGGGGATGACTTTATTTGAGGGACGATACCTGAGCCTGTAACCTGAGCCAGGAGAGGGGTGGGGCCAGGTGACACCTTTGCCTGGGGAACTGGACAAAGGCGAGAGGAGGAGCTGGGGGGAGGGGAGGGAGTTGGCTGGAGGGGTTTTTTAAAGTTTTTGGCAGGCAAGGAAGACACAGGGGACCCCCAGTCTGGGGGCTAAGCTTCTTGCACCC